TGTTAAGTTTACATCCAATTATGTTGCACTCCTATATGCATATATTGCAGAAGTAAATTACAGCCTGCTGCAACCAGACAATCATACAGCAGCAAAAAATAAAGGTGAAAAGTGCGAATAAGTTATATCCAATCAAGAGCTAATAAGTTATATTCTAATCAATCAAGATTTCAATCTGAGGACTACTAATATAAATAATGCTAATAAGTTATATCCACCATGCACTATAAACCCAGTCTGACTTTCTGGGGAAATATGCCAGGTACTACAATATAATACCTATAAGAAATATATACTTACTAAAAATAGTTTATGTTCAATTTTTCTGACAAGCTTAGCAGTCTTGGCTTTGGCAGCTTCTTCCAAAATCTTCTCACGTTCTTCAGGAGATATTTCCCTTCCCCATCGAGCCTGGGCCTCATAGAACTCTGCTAAAGTGCCAGCCTGTGCTGTTGCTTCACCTTGCCTTGATGGAATCACATCAACTGTTCTGCACCTGAACTTGTCTTCAACATCCTGTACTTGTTTTGTCATTTCCTCCCTTTCAGCTAAAACAGCAGCCACACTTGTTGGAACAAAGTCTTTCCCACGGTATATAACAATGAAATATTTATTCCTTAGCAGCAAGGTACCTCCTGTTAACATCTGTATCAAAAAAAAAAAAAAATACTCTTCTCAAATTGAAATTGTCAGAATTCGCAGCTTATCACATCTTTGGAATAAAATTATTATTGAGAAAAAAAGATTTAGCCAAATTACATAGATTCAGCCCAGAGAATGAGTTATACCTTCAACATAACAGAATTGTTTTTGTGATAACATTAAAAAATAAAATAACTATGGTGGTAAATGATGTTTTGGGCAAAAAGTGTAGAAGGCATATTAATTGTGAGTAAGTAGTACCCTTTTAATTATTCCTAGCTACACTTATTTGCTAGCTGATAAATTCATAGGAAAAGGAAAACCAATGGTTTCCTCAAAGATAAAAGCAAAAACAAATTATAATTCTGGTTGGTGACTAACTGAATAAAAGCATAGCCAGCAGCTTCAAAGAACAATTAGATTAGATCCAAAATCTCAATATAAGATTTACATCCAATTGTTAATTGAATGGTCAAGAAATCAATGGAATGAGTGCATTAGATTTGATACAAGCATGATTGCACAAGCAAAAATTTCCAAATTACAAAAAACCAAACCTTAAGCTCCTCAGACATCAGTTCATTGTTTGTGTTCTGGATCCCAGGTTTGACAGCAATCTTAGCAACTAAACTTTTCTCCCAAAGCTTAAGAATAGCACATGCTAGACCTTGGTGATTTCTATTTCTCCCTTCATAAAATTCATTAAAAGATTTATAAGCATAAAGGAAAAGAAATTTAATAAAATATTGCAGTGAATGAGCCTTACCTAAAGCAAAATGACAAGGAAGTGATTTTGCATGTTTCCTTAAATCAGTCAACTCTGCATTTGTTAGCCTTGATCGCATTCCTGTAGGAAGACACCTAAACGGTGTTTTGTAACCTGGAACTGTTCGTGGAAGTAAATCAGCATCAACAGGAAGTATCCCTGTACCCCACCATCCAACAAAACGGGGACCTAATTCATCAAGAAGTGCACTGTACTCTGCTTCGGCCTCTGTCACATTCTTAGACTGTTCTCGCTCCCTCACAACCACCTCACTCTTTTCCAGAGATGAGGTTGCATTACTGACTTCACTTCTCAACAAACTTCCCGATGAGACATCGGGAACAAAAAAGTCATTACATTTCTTGTCATTAACTTCCTTCCTTGAGTCAGGCCCTTGGTAATCAATACCACGATACACCATCATAACACTCCCTGACCTCCATGTAACCAATCCTCCGGTTCGACGCTGCACACTACAACCAATCAGTCCATTGTTCCTCAAATACAAAGTCAAGGAGAAATAAAAACTCAACTTATGCAATTAAACTTTATAAAAGCTCTCTCCTCTGACTTAAGTGAAAACCAATGTACATAAATTGATTTTAACTTATAAAAGAAGTCCAATTCATTTTGTTTTTTCTTTTCTTCTCCATCGTTTAATGAGAAATTTCTCCAAGCAGAATCTAAGATAGAACAACAATGGTGTAACTAGTAAATAATATTTTTGGACACCACAACAATGTAAACACTTAATTCATTTTATGCATGCATTTGGAAACCAATTGAGAACAAGTAAGCTGAAACTACTAGCCTCTTCGTAAACATGAAAAACCACATCTAGAACGTGAAACCAAACACATTATACATTACTTATCACATCTACACTTCTCTATAGATTGGCACTTATATGTCAGTGGATCATATCATTGAACTAGTAATTGGTTTCCATGTCATGTTATGTGTTTATCTTAAGTGTTTAAAGGTAAAAATTGAACCTCAACAATCTCATGAGCCTTCCTCATATCCTTTGCAAGTTCCTCGTGAAACTTGAGCCTCACCAACTCCTCCTTCATCCACCTCTTATGAATCTTCTCCATCACCTCCTGAGTGAGCCCAGCCTTGGGGACACTCACCCTCTCCCTCACACGCATCCCCTCTCTCCTCAACCTCCTCAGCAACTCATCCTCAAGGGTCAAATCAGCCAAACTCGGAGCCGTAACCCTCCTCTTCTTCAACCCCTCTTCATCCCTTCCACCCCCGACCACCGCCAACTTCTCCTCCTCCCTCTCCCACGGCAGCTTCGTCTCCTCCTCCTCCTCCTCATCCTCGCCCACTAGCACCGCGTCCGGCCGCACCCACTCCCGCCGGAGTAACTCGCTCAGCCTCTCATCTCCGGTCACCGGCACCACATTACTCGCCGGAACTTCTTCCTGCTGTTCTTGTTCTTCTTCTGAAGGCAAACCCAAGTTGCGTAACCGAAAGACGATTCTCTCGACGGCTGTATGCGGTTGTTTTGGGGTTGTGTGGTGAATTGGGTCGTCGGAGGTGAGGGGTTCATCGAACCTTTTGGGAGAGGGGGATTTGGTGAGCCAGGGTGCAGATGGGTTGGGTTTAGGGGTTGGAAGAGAAGCGAAGGTGAGCGTGCGAAATGGGAATTTGCGAAAAGAGCGAGAAGGGGTAGAGTTGAATGAAAACGATGATTTGAAAGAAAATTCTGAAAATTTAGTATTGGGAATCGCCATTGTTGAATTACTCTCTTAGTACAGCATTTTCTGTGTGTTTGGATGAAGAAATAAATGAAGATGAGGTATGAAGAGAGGTTACCGTAACGTGATAAGATATTTTTGTTTTAAAAGTTTTTTTTTAACTTAAATCAAATTAATTAATTTTATATGCAAATTTTGTATTATATTAATTTAAAATGAAAAAGATCAACTATTAAAAGATGTGAAAATTATTTTTTGAAAAAAACATTACCAACTTATCTAAAAATGTTAAGAAGTATTTAGACGAATTATAGAATTATTTAATTTAAAGGTTAATTTTAATTTTATATACATCAAAATTAATTAAAAATTAAAAATTTTATTTTAAAGTCATGCAAAATCCAAACCAAAAATTTAATTTTAAAAATAATATATTAATGCATATATAATTTATACGGAGCAATACAACCATTCAAGGAATAAATTCAATATAATAAAAATAAGTGTAAAAATACGATTGTATCTTTTAAAAAAATTACATTAACTAAATATTTTTAATCATTTAAAATAAAATATTATTGTTTTATCAGTTTAGTGGGTATAGAATAAAACGTATTTGGTTGTGTTTACGTTAAATTTAATAAAAAATATCGGGTAGGAAAAAAAATGTACTAACATAAATAATTCTCACATCCCTTAATTTTAGACTATTATATCTCTGGTCTTTTTAACAGAAGAAACTCACATCATTTATATTTTTAATAAATAAAACTCACTTGCTTTATATTTTAATAAAATGATTTTTTTCCTTGTTTTAATGGTTATATATTAAAATTATACTAGTTATTAAATTATAAATTTTTTATAAAAATAGTAAAAAAAAATTAGAAAATATTGTTTTTAATTAAAAACATAAATAACTATAAAATATATAATTGAACATGTTAACTTATTATATTACATATTATTGTAATATAAATATAAATAATAAATATGATTCTTATTTTATCATATCATAAGATATGTGTACGATTATTTTTAATTTTAAATTTAATGTTAGTTTTTTTTTAAGTGTTTAATTTTCATAATTTTTTAAAAATAAAATAAGAGAAGTCATTTTATTAGAAACATAACAGTGTGAATATTTATTTAAATATGAAAAAATATATAAGTATTATTTTATTAGAAAATGTGTCCATTTTAAAATCAGAAAGTTACAATATCCATTTAACATGATCGGAGGAAAGTAAGTGCAATGCTATTTTCTTTTACTAAAGTATATAATATGTAAATTTTAATGCATATAGTTTTTCAAAAACTTTGGATTAATACAAATGTGGTATAAATTTTAATTTCAACAATAGATTTTGACTTAGAGATATCCTATAAAATGTTTAAAAATAGTTTCTGAAACTTATAACAGAGTAATCCAATACCTGAATACTGTGTTTGGTAATCTCTTCTTCCTATACTTCTCACAAAAAAATTGGATACGGATATGAACAATGTATAAATTTACAGATGATAAAACAAATTGAAAACCAGATACAACAATAACTGATTCATCATTCCTTTCAACCACAATAAAACAGCAATTAATTCTATTTTTCTATTGACATTATACAGAAATCCAGAGCCATAGAACCTAGTTTCCTGTGCAAGTGTAAAATACAGTATCTTCTTCCATTTATTATGCATCCCCATACCCAGAAATGAACTTGAGAAAAAAAAAAATTGATCATATAACCATATACAAGCTATGTGTGGTAGTATAAGAAGGCTATCTAGTTTAAGAAAACATGTACAAAATCCGTGCTTGATGATTCCCACAAGCAATATTGTGCATGGGAAAAAATATAAATAATAAATGCTAAGCTGATGCAGGATCAGTTTCCAGCTGAAGAAGATCTTCTGCTGAGGGAAGGAGAAGAATTAATGATCTCTTGGCCAAGTTCCTTTATTTTGCTGAGAAGAAGCATTTGTTCAGTCTCCAGCTGAGCTATATACCCTTCCTGTGTATCCTCTAGTGTTTCTAGCTCACTCAGTGTAGTGGAGAGTCCTTCAAGATTTCCATCCTCTATAAAGGACCTGAACTTGATCATCATCTGTTTTATCTGGTAAACTCCAATTCACCCAATGTGTTAGAATAACAGCATAAAATGAAAATCATAATAATGACAACTTCATATGATAAATGTCAGTGTATTGCTTTGGAAATAATCCAACACTCTATCCTTAGAGCTGAATTAGTTTGTTACAACAGGATTTTTTTTTTGTCACTTTTCAGTCATGACCATGGTGTATGAAGATCTCACCTGGTTAGGAATTTGGTGTAGTTTACTCAAGGAAGGTTCAGATTCTAGACTTTGCCTCTTCTGCATCTCTGGAACTTTTCTAGTAATTTGGACGTGAATTTCACCCCTTTTCACCCCTTGGAGAGGTATCCACTTGTCAGCCATTTGGTTAGGAGGCAACCTTTGATATTCTACCACACATTCACCTATACTTGATGTGGGTAGTAATGCATTGTGATCTTTGACATAAAGCATTAGGGGACTTCCATCATCAGGGAACTCCAAGGTCTGGTTCCACTGAGGATTTAGAGTTTTGTATATGACCTACAGACAATGCCAAAGCTAGTAAGTATTTTGACTGTTGTAATTTACAAGGATGAAATGAGATTCCTTTTAATAAATTTCCTACAATGTCTTCTTGATCTACCTCTACCTTTTTTACATGTACTATGTAGTACAAATAGAAAAATTTAAATCTTCACATTCAATTTCATGAAAAAGAAACCAAGGATGAAGTATTCCAACCTTTGTCCTTTTCTTAAAGCTTCCGTAGTGCACCCTCACATATGGATCACTTGTGCCTCTGAGATCTGCAGCAACAAGATCCCTTCCCTCTATCAGAACAAGTTCAATCCAACCATTGCCTGAGCCCAAACCCGAACCCTGCCCATTGCAAAGGTTAGCAGAACAATTGAAGTAGTGAAAAAATATCATGAGTAAATGACTGAAAGAATCACCAATTGAAGTGATAATAAGCAATTTAATATGTTTAGGCGTTTGCATTCTTTGTTGATCTTTTTACTTAATGGCTGAAAGAATCACTAATTTCTAAGTGAATAAGCACACCTTCGATCCTTCTTGGTCATCTACTTTAACCGATATTTGAAGTCTTAATTCTCCAGAACGCACTCTTTCAAGAGGAATCCATACATCCCTGACTGAGCCATCAACCAGTCCTTCCAAATTCACATGAGCACTACCAATGTTTTCATCTCCAAAAGTTTCTTCAGAAAAGCCTTTTATTTTTAAGTATTCCCCACCACCAATCTCATCGAATTCAAATGTCTGATTCCAGACAGGATTTGGAGTATGAACAGTCCTCGATTTCTGGACAACCTAGAAAAATTGATAGCAACAAAATTAGTTAAATCATAACCGTTTTAACCTAAAACTTCAGTTAATCAAGTAATGAAAGAACTGTCGATGTCTTGAAGACATGCAGTGTCACTCACCTTTCCATACTGCAATTTGATATACGGGTCAAATTTCCCACCTTTGTCTTTTGCAGCAAGATCCTTTCCTTCCACAAGAGTTACACTAATTTTCCTTCCAGTTTTTAACTGAAAATTTGGTGATCCATTGATTGACTGCTGAGAGCTGCTACTCCGAAGACTGTTCAAACTATGCGAACCATCAGAAAATTGCCATTCTTTGACTACAATGCTCACCTTCAACTGAAAAAATGATGAGGTAAAATGAAAAAATGCTCATTCAGAAAGGTAAATCAACTATCCATTTTAGTTACAAAATGTGACTAAAGAGCATTCTGATCTAAACTCTAATATTAGAAGCCAGGAGAGAACAATAGAAGACTATGCTTTTGTAAGAATATGGTACACTGAAAAGCCATTTAATTTAATAAGTTAATGCAATAAACTCAAGGCGTAGAGGATAGCATAGTGGTGGTGCAGTTACAAGCATTACACCAGAAACACTGCCAATATGAAACCCTTATCAATTTTGAATGATTTGTACAATAAAATGTTTATTCACCTCTCAACCAACATGTTTATCCTTTGACACACATAAAGAACAAATATTGAATAATAACCTATTATTTTCAGATATCGTCTTCAGTACATAATCAAGATATGTGTTAAGATAAGGAAATAATAGCCCTGTTAACTTATAGGAGCAAATTATGATGCAGTTAGATAAGCAGGGTGTCTGCATTATTATATTTCACAATGAAGTGGTTAGATTTCATCAGAAAACTAATTGGCATTAGTTAAAATTCTACAATATATATATAAGTCGCACCCTATGAATCCAGGACAGTGGAATCAAGGAAGGGGATGTTGGACTTTCTAGCACCCCCTCCACATATGCATGCTAGAATGGGCCATACAGGCAGATAGGTCGTATAGGTTTTAATATCATTCTAGAATTTGACGTTAGGTATAACTCAATTCCAACAGGGTTGGAGGAACCTGATAATTAGTTATTACACAATAAACAAATATTGTACCTCTCCAGAGTTGGGGCCCTCGAATGGGACAACCATTTCAATTTCTTCGCCACAGAACTGTGCCTGCTTTGCTATGACTCCAGAATCAGGTCCTATGGCCCACATTATTGTTGAATCATCTTCAACATGCCTCAACTACTCAAAGACATAAACATTAGTTTATCACAGTATTAATATAGAAGACAAAGACATACTTATTGAAAAGAAATAAATACTAGAAGAAGAATTATTGTCTGAACAAATATAGTAGTTATAGGTAAATGATATTCTCCTGTTGCTAGCTCAAAAAGGAGAACATTGACCAAAGGCATTACCTTGACTTCACAACTTGCTAGATAGTCACACCTCACATTGTTGGGATGGCTCTCATAAAGATTGAAACGAAGAGTTCCTGTATTATCATGTAAAACCATATTAAATGGGGCATCCCATCTTGGGGTTGAACCCACTCTAACATCTGTTCTCCTGGTTAATTCCTCAACTTCTACTTCTACAAATGTCTCAAGGTCCTTGTCATCAAAATTGTCCTCTGAACAACCATTGGTTGCCCCATTTGGTTGCCTTCTACTTGTCTTAAAGCAACTCCTAGAAAGTTTATTCGCTGAAATCACTCTGATATATATAATGCCTCCAACTGCTTTTTTCCTTAAATCAACTGCAGGCAAAGTGAAACAACGACGGCGAGGTTCCACCATGGTTTTTACCAAGGTGTCAGCAAAAAGTTTTTCCTGCACAAAATGCAAACTTCCCGTCAGCATGAAACATAACAAGCTTCTGCACAAAACAGAAAGTAATAGAAAAAGTATCAAGAGAATTTAGGACATTGAGCTCGTGATACCAAACATCTAACTGATATTTTGATATAATAAAAAAAAAAAAACTGTTCTTGACAGATGAAGTTATTTTCAATATTATCAGTTATCAATTATTTCTTGCGTTGGTTTAAATTTCTAATTAATTACAGAAACTCAACCTGATTTATATTACAATTTCTTCAAATTAAATTCTATGAAAATACTGCTTCATCTTCTCTTCTTTGATAGAGTTATCTGTGACTAGCAACAGATCAGAATTACATAAATAGTCCTTATATTTAACCTATCCACATCTGGAAAAAAAATATCCATCAACTTAAGCATCAGATGGAAATCCATTGACAGATAGGATAAGCTTCAATAACTGCAGGACAAAAGTGTGTGTATCTTTCTACAATAGCACGATAAATATAAGATAGTTTAGGGAATTTAATTCAGAAACACAACTTTGTAACTTTTCTACAAGTATGATATTAAACATAGTTGTAACGCACCAGCCAAGAAGAAACAACAGGCCATTCAGTGGCAGGAAGTGATTGGCTTCCACCGCTTCCAAAGGCAACGCCTATTCTCACCTCAGGAGTTGACACAAATGAGTACAGAAGTGCTTTTCCATCTAGGATTGGTGTAGCAAGAAGCTGCAAAATTAATATACGATTATTAGATTAATGAAAAGAAAAAGCATTAAACCAGAGTCTTAGTAATGCAGGAAAATCAGTGACCAGGCCCAATAACTAAAGAAAATCTAATGGAAACTTCAATAAAAATAACTGCAATAAGCTGGTAATGTAGGTTCATAATCCTCAAAGTAACAAGTGTTAATTACTTGCTTCAAATTCATATCAATTTTTTTTTTTTATAAATTGACACTTGGCATCACTCTGAAGAAATGTTATTTGTCCCTTACTTCAGTTTATTTTTCATATATTAAAGCCAAAAGACCAAGGTCATATCTTTACATACATCACCCTTTATATGAAGACTGTTAATCACAATTCGAGCAGTTCCAATCAACGGCTTTGCAAGCTTCGCAAGCAACAAAATGCTCATTTCATTTGTATCCCAATCAAAACCCAGTTGCAGAAATCGCTGCAAAAGGCCAACAGAATGCATGATCAAAATCTCAGAGATCTAGCAATATATTGATACTTAAAGGCAGAGCTTAGAGTCGTACACCTCAAGAAAAATGAATGGCGAACAGGCAAACTACCTTACAAGCAAATTAAGCAATGGTAATAGAAGTAGGAAAGTCAAATAAAGTGATTTAGGTACCATTTGGTGAGCTGTGGTTCATAGATTCATTCCTTACTATCTATAATTTTTAAATTGTAGGTAACGCTTTAGTTTCTCCAAACTTTGGATATTAGAAAATTCCCTGACCACTTGGTCATATAGATCACAAAAGCAGTGGCAGTAGAAGAAGACAGAGCAACAACAACAGTGAAAGTACCAAAGTTCCTAGTGATTGTAGTGGTGGTGCAAAACCACATCAAGGAAAAATGAAAATACAGATTTGGACAAGAATATGTTTCTCACACTGCACACAAAAACAGATGATGATATAAATGCTACACCTGCTCTCCCCCTCCTCTATTTTTCAATTTTTTACTGTCCCTACCAATATCACTATGAAAGTATGATTGAAGGGAAGATTAGATACATAAAAATGCTATTACTACTGACATTTGAAAGAGAAAACTAAAACCTGATCACCAATAGCTGACCACCGCATCCCTCGCAAAGCCAAGCTAGGAGGGCATGATCCTAGTGAAAACTCCTGAAGCTCAACTCTTTCCTATAAAAGAATTGCTCTAGTTCAATACACATCAAACAAATATCCAATCTCCATAAGTGTTCAAGCTGTTTTGATAAACTAATCAAAATTCTTTCATAGCATAGAGTGTGGATTACTTACCAGAAGTCTTGGTTTCCGGAGCTTTAAACGTTTCTAGAGACCCAAAAGATAGAAATTAGATTAGTTCATCTATTAAAATACAAAATACATGACTGAAGAGAGCATTGAACAGAATGAAGGATCCTAACCACAAAATGTAACATTAGCGAATATTTAACAGGAAGTTTATCCACTATTATGACCACTTTTTATTTACCATAGTCCTTTCGACCAACACATAATCAGCATAGATTCTGTTTCTTCATTAAATATTTGAATTGAAAGGCAAAATGAAATGTCAGGTTAACTAAAGCCAGCAGCATGTAGCTTGTATGTTCAGAGTCTAAGATTTTTTGCCACGCATACTTAACAAAAGTTATATACTTTTACTTAAATATAAGTCTGATAGTCTGACACTGCTATGCATTTCCTCTTTATTTTGGAAGTACAAGTAGAAACTAAACAATCCATTCAAGTCATGGATGAAAAAGGACTTGCATCTACGTACGTACAAACATACATACATATGTATGTGTGGTGCAACCATAAGAAACAGAAGCTATTTAATAACAATTTCTTTATTGACTCTTGAATAAGGATGAAAAATTAGTGTGTAGCAAATGAGAAAAGGTAGTGAAACTTCACCTCAACAATAGCAGATAGCCTTATTGAAAACTTGGGATTAAAATAGTTGGACCAAACTTCTGTCAATAACTTATTCAGCCACTCACAATGCTCCAATGGTGTGATTGGCTATACGAACAAGAACTTGAAGTCAACATCAAAAGTCACAATGGAAGGGTGAAAAGGAGGAAAAGTAGGGAAAAAGTACCGAGACATTCAGGATGATCCTCTTCCATTTCCTATCCAAGTCCTCCACAAGTAGTTTGCGTTGGTATCTCCCATACTGAAAATGAAAAAGCAGCATCTCACATTAACTGCTAGTATAGTACACTACCAAAAAAGCAGCCAATCACTCAACTCAGAGATGAAAAATCAGGAAGATTTTCTCTTAACAAAACATTTTTTAAAAAGTTACGGATATCTGTGATGGATACCAGTACAAAATACAACAAATTTTAAACATGGAATATCGAAAACATTATTCTAATTTTGCATTGAATATATATGAAGAGTATAAGTTATTCATAGATTTTTATGAAAACATCTACAATTATAATTTTATAACTATTAGAAATGAGTTTAAGGCTTGAGCAGTAATACTATGAGTAGGATTGTGTTAACAGTCCTAACATGTCATTGACATACTACCTGTAGTAATCTACCAGTAATATTGGGGTGACTCTCCTTTCTATCACTTTTCTTCAACCAAAAAAAACACTCACATCTCGCAAGTAATGAATTATGAAATTACCCAATTCAACAAGAACAAGAAATAGCAAATTCATAATAAGATAATCCATACAAAGTCGTTTTTTCATGGAAACATATTTGGGCAAAAAACTTAAATCTCATAAGTAAGAGTAATTTGTGAAATTGCCTCAATTCAACAAGATCAAGAAATAATGAATGCATTCTAATATGAAACCAAATTTAATTAATCAGTTAAGATAATCCATGATGAAAAAAAAAACATTTGTGGAAACATATTTGTTCAAAAAGCATAAAGAGATAACAAGAGGGTAATAATGAATAAAATTGAGAAGTGAGAACCTGTATAGTAGTCCACACAGCAAGAGCAAGGGGAACCCAAGAGGAGGCAGAGAAGAGCCATCTCTCAACAGCCCAAGCAATCAGAATCAGAGGAATGAAGACCGGAATCCTGGGCTTCTCCTGCAAGAGATGGTTGAAAAAGTCCACAGCAGCCTCTTCAATGTTAATTGAAAGGACCCTTTTCTTCAAACTCATTGTTTTGCTCTTTGCAAGTACCAAAACCACAAAAGGGAAGTTTTTGTGATCAAATTTCGGTGTTTGGCTCTCTTAATTCCTCCGAGTGTCAACTTTTCCTATCCATGACAGTTACAAGACCAAGGTCAAAGACTCATGGGGATAGGGAAAAACCATAAACCAAGGAACTGTATGGGAGTTGACAAATCTTGAAGGGTTGTTAGAATTCAGAAGAAGAAGCTGTTAGAAAGAGAGAAGATGAAAAGTCAGCTGAAGGAATGAAAGACAAACAATTTTCTGCATAAAAGGACAGGTTTTGCGTTGGACAGAATTGAAGTGATCACAAGTTGGAAACACTGAATCAAATCTAAAGTGACTGTGTCGTTCATTCGGCCACCTTTGTAATGGTTTCTGTTCCGAAACATGGGTCCCATTCTTCAACTTTTCCACATTGAATTTTATTATTTTCAGTCACATCATTTATTTTGCCTCTAACTAATCTAAGGATCATAAGCTGTTTAATTTGGAGCTATTCATGAATTCGGATATATAGTATCAAACAAAAATGTAAAATGTTTCCAACAAGAGAAATATACCCTTCAAGATACCTTCGGTTATTTTCTTTTTCTTCTAAAGATTCTGTTTTTAACTAAAATTTATAGAAATTACAAATTCTTTTGAGTTTTATTTTATATTTCATATTTTTTCTTATCATAATATGTGTTCTTACCAAAATACATGGTTCTTCTAACTAAAAATAGGTTATGATAATTTATTATGAGAATAAATAAATACAACAAATAAACATGAAAAATGAGAAAATGGCAAAATAAGCTTAATTTACATTAAAAATTAGATAAAAAAAAAAACACAACCAATCCACAAAACTAAACCTAATTTTTTGGAGTTATACATAAATCATGTCGACCTGTTTCTGACAAGAGTAATTAATGGATACATAAATGTATCCAACGTGTATGATACCAACTATACTATCTCTATTTATATTTTTTAAATTATTTTATTATTCAATAATATTTTAACTTTAATCAATATCTTACATTTAATTAAAATCGTTATATTATGCATTTTTTTGATGAGAAAGGCATTTTAAAGAAAATTATGTAATTTTACAATCATAATTTTTTTATTAAAAAGTAAACGGAAATCGAGAAACGTAATTCTATAAAAGGACAACAAATCATCATTAGATTTTACCAAGACTTTTTGTCCATAGAATTTATAAACAATTTTCTGTTCTTTTCAACTGTATTTTATTAACTGCCTCTAAGATGCATTTAAGAAAATAGTTTTATGTTTTTTTTATTCTTTTAAATAAGTTTGACCAAAAATGTAAAAATTGATTACACATGATTATTTTATTAAAAAATATTTTTCCTTAAAACGACTAATCGAACAAACCTTAATGTGTTTGAAAATACTTTCTAATTTATGTTTCTGAAAAAAAAATTCTAACAAAAACAATTGATTCATTTAAAGAAATCAGTCTATTTGAAATAGATAATTATCAAAAAAAAAAAAAAAAACAGGTAAATTCATTTAAAGGGAGTGTCAGTGCCAGCTTACAGAGGAGACCAGGGAGACACGATTTTGAAGATCATGCCAAGCTTATCAAAGAAAGGATATGTTTACATAAATATTAAAAAATAATTTTCTTTTTATAAATTAAAATTTGTTTTATAGAAGCTAACTACAAAAAATATTTGATTTTTCTAGAAAATATTTTTTAAATGTAAATTCACTTTTATTTTTAAAAATATTTATTTTATTTTTATTAATATTTTTTTAAATGGTACAGTGTCATATGAAAATGTACAATATCATAGAAAAACATGATGTATTATTTTTTAAATCATTAACAAAAATAATGTAATATATAAAAAGAAAAGGTCATTCATTGTATATGTTAAAAAAATATAGGGTAAACTTATATAGCTTGATAAAATTTAAGAATAATTAATTAATGTGATTTATTTAGTAAAAAATGATATTATCATAAAATAATAAATTTTAAAATTAATAAATCCATTATTATATATTTAGTTAATCCATAGATTCTTAATTTACTATTTTTTATAACTTCTAATATAAATAATATTAACCTTTATCTATAAAAAAATCAACATGAGAATTTATATTCTTTATTCAACAAATTGAGTTAGACTTATACTTTGATTATTCCAAATTAGGTAAGATGTTAATATAAAATAACTTACGAACTAAAAGAAATATTATTTTAAAATTAAAATAAAACTTAATATTTTAAAATGAAGATATGATAGATGATGGATGACCCAGCAATAATTTTAAAAGTCAGCGAGATCTTCAGCCGTCCTGCTGAAACACGGCTGGACCATCCAACGGCTGTGATTAGTCCGACAAAACTTTCAAATATGGTAGGACCGACATGCATGTGGTGCATACGCACAATGGTCAAACTAATGGCCTCGAGGAATATATATATATATATATATATATATATATATATATATATATATATATATATATATATATATATATATATATATATAAATATAATAATAATAATTTTCAAACAAAATAATATACTATTTTAAAATTCACCTACTTATATTGACCAATTATACTTATTCTAGACTATAAAACTATCAGACACAGTTTTTTTATATAATTTTAATATCCATTTTTTTCTGAAAAATATACTTTTATCTTTGTCATATAAAAATGTTTTTTTTACTAAAAGTAGTACATTTAGATTCTTTAAACAATAATAAAGACAAATGTTAATCAAACAAATAAAGTAACCAACTTTAGAATACAAAATATAATTAAATATGTTACTGTAAAATAATTATCTAAGGTTTTGTACAACTATTATTTTTGTTTTATAGTAAAGATTATTCTAAAATAAAATTATATATATATATATATATATATATATATATTATATACTCATCATTATACATATATTTTCACTTCAAACAATTTTGTTTTAAATCACAATTTGGTTTTAGTTACTCCCTATATCTTTCACTTTCTTTCATTTATATAACGTGTAATGTTATTTCTACAGAAAAATATAATAAGCAATGTTCCAAAATAAGAAGTTAGGGAAATCTTCAAGATTTCATTTTATTTTCTAAAAAATAATATATTTTTAGAAAATATTCCAATTTTTTTAATTATAATAACAATAACATACTTAGATTAAATCCTTAAAGATTTAAGGTTTGTAATAATTTTATTTTTAAAACATATATATTGTTAATTATTTCCTGAACGCAACAGAAAATGTAAAAAAAAATAAAGGCATGGTTAAAGTCAACAAAATTGACGTTAAAAAAATTGTATTCAATTTTATAATCTTTTATAATTAATGACGTCACAATATTTGATTTTTTATTTTGTTTATTGTTAGATGGCTCATTTTTTCTTCCAAAATATTTTCTATGTTATTCTTTTTTTTGTGGTAAAAGATAACTATTTGACGGACAAAAAAAATTACTAATTTAATTACCAATGAGAGGAAATATAATAACCAGCAATGAAAATTTTGGATAAAATATTTTAACGTATTTAAAGTATATAGAGACATAAAGTTATTAAAAAAATGAGATCAAAGTATTATTGCATGATCAAAATGTATCAAATTTATTGGCACGAAAAATCAGATCAACATATTTATTAATATTTTAAAATTAAATAATATAGTATTAATAAATAATATAGTATTAATAAATAATAAAATAAAATAATATATTATAAAAGGTAAGGCTTTTTTTCTTTTGTCCTTGTAATTTTTATATGCATTATTAATCTTTATTTTATTTTTATATTTATCTTCATTTTTCATGAAATAAATAATTTTTTATTTTGTTTAATGACTGATTTTTAAGTTTTATTGTAATATTTTTATTAATATTTTTACTGGAAATGGTTGTAGTTTTGACTGAGAAAATCGGAGTGTTTTTTTTTAAATATGTTTCAGAATTTGTTTTCTCGAATATAATTTGGGAAATATATTCTGGATTAACAAATTTAGAATTTTTGCAATATATTTTTAAAAAATAAATCCAAAAATACATTTTTTTTCAAATTTAACCATTTGAGTTTGTTTATATAATTTAATTAGATAAACATGTAATTCATACTTAATATTATTAATTATTTATCTTTAATTATTAAAAAATATAAGTGATAATACAAAAAGTTAAATAATAAAAAAAGATGATTAAGATGAAAGTGAAAAAGTTATACACAACTAGAAAAAGAATAAATTAGGATAAAAAATTATGAATCTAGAAAACAAGCCGAAAGTAATTTTAAAAAATATGATTTAATTATAAATGTACTATATTTAGGGAGGAAAAACAAAAAGTGTCATTTCAGATGAATATGTATGTTTGCCTTGTTTGATAGCATAAAAACATTGGAGAGAGAGAGAGAAAGAGAGTGAGAGTGAAATTAAGAAAATATTAATTTAAGCAAAACTCAATTTTCATGGAAGAAGGTGAAGTTATTCCTGAGAATGCGCAGCCACACCAGGGCATGAAACTCACCGCACATGTGGAACTCATTCTCCTCTAACAAAGTTTACAACCGTAGCATTTTAAACCCTAATCTTCATTTCAATCCATCTTTTTATTATTATTTATTTTTTACCTCAAACCCAATTAAAGCAAACTCAAGAACTCATTCCATAACCTCACCTCTCTGTCTTGTGAGTGATTCGTTACCCTTTTCAAATCCAAAGCTATGAGCCCTTCCCAATTTCATTCCAAGAAAGAAATCACCTCCACCAACATCAGAAACACCAATGGATTGCTTCCACCACCTTTGAAAATCAGAAAGGAATCTCATTTCATAAAAAAATCATCCTCCTCGACCTCACAATCATCCTCATCATCTTCAACATCAATATCATCACCCTCCTTAATGACACAACCAGTACCAACCTCATCACACAAACCACCATCTCAGCAACAACAACAACGTCACCCTGTGATTATTTACACACATTCCCCGAAGGTTATCCACACTGAACCCAAGGGTTTCATGACATTGGTGCAACAACTCACCGGCCTCTCTCGTTCAAACCGTTATGCAGATCAAGAAGAGGAGGAGATTGACGATGATGATGACAACCCACCGTCGCAAAAACCCGCAAAGCATGATTCTGGGGGTAGCATGGCGGTGATAGGAGACAAGGAAAGCGAAAGAGAGAATGTTATCATGGTGAGAAACGAGGAAAACGAGGCATCATCGGTGATAACGGAAGAAAATAATTGTAGCAGCAGCATAGGAGAAAACCAAGTTAACTCTTGTTTCATGGAGAGGGAGGGACCAAGACTGGAGCCTCCGTTGAACCCTTACACGACAATGTTGCCGTCGAGCTCGGGGGAGTTCGTGTATTCGAGTCAGCCATTGTTGAATTACTCAGATTCTTTGTTCTTCTCGCATAATATGAGGACCTCTATTCCATCATCGACCACATTGGAAGGGATGAAAGAGTTCCGTGAGCATTGATTATAGTTTAACCTTTTTCTTTTTGTTTGAATCAATAAAAGTTCTAGTTTTCCAGGATAGAACTTCATTTCTTTGAAGAATTAATGGTTTTGTTTTTGTAGAAAAGTTGTATCAACACGGATTTTTAAAGTTCTTACTTTCTTAGTTTCATAGATTGTGATTCAGAATAATAAAGAAAGGTATAGCTTTCTATGTGATATGTTTCCATCGCATTATCCTTTCTTTTCATAGCTGTTGGAAAAATAATAATAATAATAATAATAATAATAATAATAATAATAATAATAATAATAATCCTGATTTTGATTCTAACAATCAAACATAAACATAATCCCATATTGATAAACATGTTGTAAACTGAATGCGAAAGCGTACTCGAATTAGCCATAACGATGATGTCTTTGTAGAAGCACTATATTGATCTTATGGTCTTCCACCGAAGAAGCACCTATATTTCCCTCTTGATTTTCTCTCTTGATGGGGATAGAAAGAAAGGAACGGGACCGATACTTACGTTCTGTGTGTGTGCTCTCGGAAGGGACCATGACCCTTTAGATAACCGGAATTAGGTTAATTACTTAAGTTTTAGTATTTCCAATTTGGCCCTCATCAAATTAGAAATTGCTGCTATGGTCTCTACACAATTTTATTTTCATGACATATGCTTTTAGCCAAAACTTTAATTTAGTTAGATCACTTTATTATTTGGCTTAATAAATAATGACCCTAACACATTTAAATATGTATCATATATATACATGACCCAAAATTTGCCAACAATCTCCCACTGGTCACAAATATATATGTCTTTACAACCTTACAAATGTGTTAGACTTTATGAGCTCAAAATTGTCATTATATTCTTTTAGCATATTCCAAAAGTCCTGTCCATTAATCATATCAGGATATAGAACCAAACCAGTTTTTCATTGCATCATCGCAACTAAAACCAACAATGATTACTCATCCTAACATAACCAAATGACATGGATTCATCATGAAATGTGTAGCATGAAAAATTACGTGAAGGTGATCTGTACACGTCTATTTTCAACTGGTCCAAACTTTAAGTTATTGAGATCGATATAATATCCTTAATGTACAAAGTGTAATGAATGAACGAAAAAACCGCATATCTATAGATAACCAAATATGTCCAAAAATAAAACAATGTATACATATATGAAATTAAACATAGAACATGAAATATATGAAAGTGACTAACTCCCATTAAACCACAAATTCCTCAAACTGTAAAACACCCATGTGAGCAAAATGCTCATGAAAGACCTTAGGCGGAAGTCCTTTAGTCGGAGGATCTGGTATCATGGAGTTTGTCCTTAAGTGTTCTATGAAAATCTGTCCACTTTGTACTCTTTCCTTAACAATACAAGCTGATTTATTGTCACAATATAACTTAAGTGGTCTTTCAATGCCTTTCACAATTTGCAGCCACTGTGACAAAATTTATCGACCATATTCCATGATTTGATACCTCATAGCAAGTTACAAATTCTTGACATCCTACAAAATCCGAGTCGGAAAACCCAAGTGATCTCCAACTGGTCCGACATCCTATATGTGAGCATATAATCTTTTGTTCTCTTTAAATATCTTATGACCCTTTTGCTTGCTTTTCAATGGTTTATTCCTGGATTGCTTAAATATCCGCCTAGAACCCCAACTATATATGCTATGTCTGGATGCGTACATACTTGGGCATAGATCAAACTCCCTACAACTGATGCATAGGGAATCTTTTGCATTTCCTCAATTTCCAAATTCCCTTTGGGCACTGATTGAGACTAAACTTGTCTCCCTTTAAACTTGTGATACATACAATCATCAACAATATTCATCTTGAAGCCAAATGAGTTTCATACCTTCTGGTAATGGGACAAGTTCCCAATAACCTTATTGTCTTGCATGGACTTATACTTATCCTACATTGCTTCAATCCACTTTTCAGAGTTAGAACCTTGCATGGCTTGACGGAAGTTAACTGGGTCATCTTCCATCATACCATTATTATCTTCATGTTCTTGAAGAAATACCATGTAATCATCCGAAATAGCACTTCTTCTTTCTCTAGTGGATCTCTGCAAAGTTATTGGCTCATGATGCACAAGTTCTTGAGGATCTTGAGTTTGTTCTTCATGAACAACCAAATCATCTTGAGTAAGGGGTTCATTAACAATGCATTGTGGAGGTTCCGAACTTACTTTATCAAAAGTAACTGTTTGAATCGGTTCTGGAATTGTTACCGATTCTTCCTCTAAGACAAAGTTCCTGATTTTATTCTTCCCCCCAAACTCAATATCCTCAAAAAACGTAGCAGTTCCCGTCTCAAAAATTGTCTTTAATGTGGGATCATAAAATTTATATCCCCTGGATCTTTCAGCATAACCAATAAAATAACCACTTACTGTTCGGGAGTCCAATTTCTTTTCATTTGACTTATAAGGTCTTGCCTCAGCTGGACAATCCCACACATGGAAATGCTTCAGACTAAGTTGTCGCCCAATCCAAAGCTCATAAGGTGTTTTGGTAGCTGCTTTAGTTGGTACTCTGTTTAGAATATAAGTTGTCATATTTAGTGTGTAACATACTCTCTACCATATCTTTAAGAGTGTAACATAAGGCAAAACGTTACAATTTGATGTTACCTGAGCACTTGTGCCATAATGCACTTGAGTGAGTATTTTCAATTTTACGTTTAGTACCACATGATTCTGCATTAAGGGTTTCATTATAGGTGGCCACAATATCAAGTAAATACAGATTATCATAAGGCAAAAGTGAACCAGTTCCAATAATATCTGAATTAAAAGACAAACTGAACTTATTGTTTCCAAATGAACACAAATAACCTAATTTGTCCAGATAAGAAACTGAAACCAAATTCCGTCTAAATGACGGCACAACAAAAGTGTCTTTCAAATCCAAATAAAAACCAGTACTCAATAACAATTTAAAATGCCTTATGGCTTCCACCTCTACCGATTTGCCATCTCCAACATATATCCATCTTTCAGAATCAATTGGCTTCCGGTAGCTTAAGCAACCCTTTATAGAAACACTGATGTTAGTAGTTGCACCTGAGTCTAACCACCAAGTGTTACTAGGTACTGGCTAAATTGACTTCAGAACAGACCAAAGTAGGAAACATACTTTTGAGGATCGGAACATAATTTAAATTGGCAGATACAAAAGCAATTGTAGCTGGATTAGAACAAAAGAAATAAACTAATTATGCTCACATTATAAAAAATAAATAATATATATTCAAATAGTGGTTTAACCCATCTCAAGATACCCAATGCACCATCAATATCAAGTCTTTGGACGAGTAATATTAACTGCTAGAGGTATCTTGTTGTAATAATCAAACATTGACAATAAAGCACGTCCAACAACAAACCAGTCTTTGGATTGATTTATCATCGACAAAGCAAATCCTTATAATTATCACATGTTTATCATTACAAGTGTGTATGCAATTCGGCCAAATATTAATCTTCCTTTGGGCCGACTAATACTCGCATGAATATACACAAACACTAACATTCAATATTTTTCATGAACTGCCCAATTCAAGAGAAGTTACTTTGGTGACTTCTTGACTCAATTTGCTCACAAAAAATATTAAACTACCAAAAATTGAATATTTTATTTATATAACAAAATCAAATATTTAATATTTGCAAACTAATTCAAAAGAGAATCACCTCATTATAATTCTACTAAGGATGAACACCTCCCTAGAATCTCATTAGGGATGAACACCTCATTTGAACAAATCAAAGGATGAAAAAAGGCCTCATTTTCCACCAATACATAAAGGATGAACATCTTCCTAAAATCACACTAGGGATGAAACAGAGATAGTTACGAGTCTCTTTAGCATATCTGCTCTAAACCCTAAAAGGAATTAAACAGTAATCACTCAGACCCTAATTTAACATCAAATTTTCTTTAAATTCCTAGGGGATAGAGGCAATAAAATAATAACAGCCAAACATGTGGAAACATTCATCATTTACCTAAGATTCTCTGTATTGGGAACTCCACAAACACCACCCCCAATTCCAAACCCATAAAATTAAATAAAAACAAAAGATTCAAAAAAAGAACAGAGAACCCAATACAAGAAAAATTGAAATATGAAACACTGTTTCTTTCTCAGTAAAACTTGAAACTTAAACTGAAACAAAAGTGAAAAACGAAGAAGAAGAAGAATCCATAGTTTCCTCCACGGTTCCATCAGCAAGCAGAATCAGATTGGGGATGTTACTCCCAAATTTAAATTTTAGGGTTCACAAAAATTAGAGATTATCCTCCACTTAGGGTTCATAAAATTAGGTAATCTGAATTGTTTAAAACAAAATTAATCCTAATTTTCATAATTAGGGTTCTATAAATTAAACAGACATGAATCAAATATGGGCGGCTCGATACCAATTGTTGGAAAAACAATAATAATAATAATAATAATAATAATAATAATAATAATCCCGATTTTGATTCTAACAATCAAACATAAACATAATCCCATATTGATAAACATGTTGTAAACTGAATGCGAAAGCGTACTCGAATTAGCCATAACGATGATGTCTTTGTAGAGCACTATATTGATCTTATGGTCTTCCACCTGAAGAAGCACCTATATTTCCCTCTTGATTTTCTCTCTTGATGGGGATAGAAAGAAAGGAACGGGACTGATACTTACATTCTGTGTGTGTGCTCTCAGAAGGGGACCATGACCCTTTAGATAACCAGAATTAGGTTAATTACTTAAGTTTTAGTATTTCCAATTTGGCCCCTCATCAAATTAGAAATTGCGCTATGGTCTCTACACAATTTTATTTTCATGACATATGCTTTTAGCCAAAACTTTAATTTAGTTAGATCACTTTATTATTTGGCTTAATAAATAATGACCCTAACACATTTAAATATGTATCATATATATACATGACCCAAAATTTTCCAACAATAGCTTCATGCATGTTTTGTTTTATACGTACATGCATCATCATGAAGCAGAAAAAGTTACGTTCTCAAGTATTAAATGGACGAATTATTAGGTGGTGCAATACCAGCAGTAGTTATGATTTCAACCAATTAATAAATATTTCAGAATCACTTTCTGTGTAGATAATCATTACAAGAACTTTGTTTAAACTTAAGTATCACTGACAGGTCATAGTTATATTGAAACAAGACGCGTGAGACTATGGAAGCTATACAAAAAATAAATACATTGCCCCAACAGGATATATAATATATGAACAATGTTTGATACAAACAAACATTATTTTTGGAAATGTCACACATTTGACAGTTTAAACAATTAGGTAAACTCGATGAGAGTCCCTAGACCAAAAATATCGAAGTTTGTGAATATGAACTTTGAAACTATAAGCTGTATCAATTTGATTTTTGCAAATATCTTAAGCTTTTTGAGGTGAAAATTTACCCATACATGTGACAAATTATTATTTATTTTAACATAACATATCATTTTTTTTTTAAGTTTTTTACATCTAAGAAACTAAAAACTGTGTTTAATAACAATAAACAAAACTAAAGGATGGTATGCAAGAGTTTTGTGTAGGGAGGGAGTAATTTAATTCTAATCAATTACTTTGCTTCCACAGTTGAGTTTACACCTTTAACATTCTATGTACAAGACTCAAGCAGTATTTAAACAAAGACATTTACACAACTCATTGCACCATGTGTGCGTGCATCAATCTATTTTTTCTTCTTTTCCTCTTTATCTCTTTCAAGGGTAACAGGAGCTGCTGGTATGCTGAACCACCATTCCTTTAATCTCCTCGTCCATCTCTCAGTGCTAGTTTTCCTTGGAGGCGAATATCTTGTGAAAATCTCCAAGAAGAGTAGCAGAACTATGTATTTCGAAGGCAAGAAAGCCAAAATCAGGGCTGTTGATAGAAGACCAAATGCCAACTTCTCTGTAGCCTGAGATATAAACGGAACCAAGTATCATATATACTATCTGACACTCATGCTTGCAATGAATATTGGATAAAATACTCAAAAAAAGCATTTTAAGAAGTACATCCAAGCTTCTTTCTAGACAAAAGTTGAAGAGTTTAATAGGTATATATACTAACAGTGTGTAAAAGTTCACTGTAACCAGTCAGAGATACGACTTTGAAGACAGTTATTATGAAATCAATGAAATTATCAGAGGGTGATTGTGATTGGATTTGGATGACAATGTAAACAGTGTATGTATGATTCATTCAAAATTAATTATCAGCAAAAGGGAAAGAATGAGACAGCACCTGAGGAAAAATGGCAAGCAACAAGCCACGAAACTTGAGCAGAATTACGTTGCCATCCTGGATGACCTGTTCAGCCTGAGAGACAGCATTCTGAACAGCCAAAAGCTGTTCCATTGTATTCATTGGAGGAGGGGCAATTACTTTAACTTCAGGAACTGACCTACCATGGCTAAAACATCGTGTAATTATCATAAAAACTGCAAGTAACACAATTACCAGTGCTGCTGCATACGGAAGCCAACCCCTGCAATAATCAGATTATCTAAGTTAATGAAACAAGGGAAATCTATCATCACACCAAGCACCAATAAAAATGCTGAAAATGAGAACTATAGGGCTTATTTTGTTTGAAGTAAACATTTTCTGATTTCACCATTTCTGTTTAAATTGCATCAAATCGAATCAGATCAACACCAATTTCAAATTATTCAGTCTCTATTCCTCTTTCCTTCTCTGCATAAAAGCCCTGTAATTTCAACAAACCAAACCTATAACTGCTGAATCTATTGATGCTTACCAAGCTACATAAATGCTTATTCAATGTTGAAACTTGGTAGGAAAAGCTTTGCTGCTCTTGATAGTTCTACCCAAGTTAAAACCACCCCAAAAAAGAATGCTTATTCAATGTTTATATTGAGTTATTCCCAACACCTTTTATTATTACAATAGTACCCATAGCAAATCATCCAGAATTTCCCCCCTCAAAACTACTTCTTAGTTTCTATAATAATTTCATAAATTTCCATAAAAATGTCTTCCATCTCTCCCTCTCAACAAAAAACAGGTCAACAGAATATTACTTGATCTAAAGAAGTTTTACCTGTAAATAATGTAACTGAAAAACAAGCAAAACCCTAAAGACTTCCACGGATCATCCCAATATGCCAAAGATTGGAGAGACTTTCCAAGTTCATTTATAGGAAAAAGTAACTCCTGAAAGTAGATGAATTGGTAAGTATCAGCATGGGATAATTCTTGGAAGCTAGTTTAAATATTCTAAAACAGTTTGACTAAAGGTTTCAAGAGGATAATGAAATAGTACCTTCATGACAGCCAAATTAGTGTCAATACCATCAACTTTAACACCATCAACTGTCGCTTGTGCAGATATAACCTTTTTATGATTGTTCTTAGATTCTTTAACAGCTATTTCCAATTCAGTCATTTCTCCAACAGATATTTCACCCACAGCAATCCTGCTCTCATTTGAGTTGTTTGAACTTGCTCCAAATACAAATCCCAAGTTAGAAACCATGTCCAAGGCTGAGATAGAATACATTCCACTACCACCCTTGAAACCATTCTCATGCTCCGACTGTCTTAGGTTTGGCATATCTGCAAGGGTTTCTAATATCAAGTCTCCACCTGGAAGCTGATCACATAAATTAAACATGAGAAGAGCATCATTCTGTATAGGAATCGTGGAACTAATATCCTGAATAGCTTGTAAACGCAAAATTCCTAAAACAGCCTTCCAAAGTGCTTCATCCCGTGCAACCCCTTTAATTCTATACTTGCTTATGAATTTGTGAACATATAGAATCTCTCGGATGATAGCTAGCCAATAATCACGACGTGCATGACCTTTGAGTTCTGGAAACTCTAGTACAACTGGTTCTGATCTACAAGAGAATTACTTTTGAAAGTTAATTGCAAGATAATTTTTCAGCATTTATCCATTATTTAAAAGTATAATTGTTAAGTTACTTACAGGGATGACGAGCTATAAAAGACTGCCTTGTCAAAAAGTCGAGTACCCCATGGTCCAGTCAACTCAGGTTTAACAACTTGTTTAAGATCTTCTGATAAGTCATATCTTTTTGGTTTGTCATATGATACAACGCGAAGTGCTTCAAAATGAAGTGCATGATCTGTCAGGATTAACCTTCCTGCATCATGTCACAAAGAGAAAAATTAAGGACAAATAATACATACTCCTAATTTGGTGGGGGCGTGTTTTGAGAAAGATGGCAGATAAATGTATATTTCGCTCACTTACCAGGCCAGGTGGATATTCCTACATGCTCAAGGACCGGCTGTGTTGTGACTGTTCCATCAACCTCAAGAATCTTCTCACCTCTAGAGGATCTTATAGCAGCCAGGAGAGACGATTCTGAATTGCTCTTCATTTTTCTTATAGCCCTGTGAAAATAAAAATATTAGATAATTTATAGAAAAAATAATGTGCATACCACTGATCACATACTAAATAATTCAATATTACTACACACTGTTGCATCAGAATCTGAAGCACATAAACACAGAAGCTCAATCTTGGGCACTAACAACTATAAAATACAAACTACAAAACTAAACTGAAAATCTCATTCAATCATTTTGGCGTGTGATTAGAAGCAATAAACTTGGACTTCAGCCCAAAGCCTGTCTGGCAGAATAGCCATCACATTTATGTGCATACACTAGCCTGAATTTTCATTATAAACTTAATAAGGTGCTAATGTGGTGGTAATACGGGGAGAAAGGCTTTCTCAAATAATAAGCTTGACTGTTTTGAGTCTTTAAACAACACCATCCCCTTTTCCCACTGTTAAAGGGTACATTAAAACTGCACTGACCCTGTTTCCTGTTGTTAAAGGAACTCAGAAGTGGGTTGAGTTTTCAGAGAGAGGAATATAGAGATGGGAAAAAAAGAAAAAAGGAAAAAGAATGCTTTGGTAATCTTTGTTGAAAAATAAACAAAGAACCTATGGAGAAAATTCTCCTAAGGATTTTCCCTTTCAACAATAGAGCTTAAGCTCAGTTCTCAAATGACGACAAAACAAAATGCCCCTACCTCTACCCTCCCCTCGTATCAAAGCATTTAACCTTATTCCCTGCCTCTACAACTTTAACGATCAACTATTCTAACTACTAACTACTCTCTGGCCTATCATATTCTGAGTACTGTTTGCACAAACATTAAATCTAAGGGTCCATAAAACTCTCGCAAACTACTTCTGAAAAACTGCTACTGAATTTTAAGTAGAACAAAAAAGCTTATAATAGATTTTTTCAATGTTATCTATGCTATTAAAGAATTTTTAGGAACCAAGAAATAAGAACGGAAAATAAAAGACAGATTTGATTGAATAGCATTAAAAGAACAAGAAATTGGAGAGAACTCCCTCCTAAGAGGGTTTCCCCTTTTACGACAGAACTACTGCTCTATTCCCACAAATGTCAACTAATCAGAATACGCTCTTTTACTCAAAGTATCCTCCTATTTATAGATATGATGTCCATCTAATAAGTAGCTACTCTAATTCCATTCTATATCCTAACAAGAAATATAGGTATTCTTTTAATAAGAAAAGAAGAAATAAAATTCACAAGCAAAGATGCCTTACTAAAAAATGCTGATTAATACAGTAAATTCTTGTGTTATTTGGGAAGTCTTCTTGGTTAAGTGCATATAGGTACTTACAAGTAAAGCAGAGCAGTACTATCTATATTCTTGTAAACCAACCCTCCCTCAGTTTCATTCTCTTATAAATTCAAAGGATAATCATTGCAGAGAATAGATGGGAGGGATTCCACTAAATTGTTTCAGAAATATATACAACAACTTTAAAAAGTTAAAAACAATTATAGGGAACTAAACAAATTCTGAACACTTAAACTATAAGTACTTAGTTAAATTGTGTCTAGATTCTGTTACAAAATTTCAATTTCGTGTGCTAAAAACTTAAATGGCTTCATCCTCTTTAGAGCGAGGGTAGCATCTGAACAAACTTTTTTGTGCTTCTCTCCTCCTTAAAAGGAAAAATTAAGCCTAAAACCATTTGAGCAAAGCTCTTAAAAAATAAAAGTAGTTTTTTAATGAACAAAAGCCCATAAAACAAAGAGCTTCTATAGAAGCTAATTGTAGGATTTTCTTTAAAGAAGAGATATAGCCCAAAATGCTAGGCCAAACACTACCTAAGTAGAATTTTATAAAACTGGGAAAAGTATTTTCTAAACCCTAAACCAGATATATCCAGCCAGTTTCCTTTTAAACTACAAATCAAGTGTGAAAAAAGTTTTTTTTTCAGGCACTCCTACCCACCAATATGTCCTATACCCTACCCCAAAAAAAATGAAGAAAGGAGATGAGAAAAAAATAATAATAATAATCAAGCTTGCCCATACACAAAAAGCAGGAAAAATGGCTTGTATAAATGAAAGATGGAAGTCAAAGGAATACCAGACAAAAGAAAAAGATAAACCATATTTTCAACTTTCAAGGTATAATTTCATACCTTTCTAAGCCACTGAGGTACTTGTCATAGATGGGGAACTGAAGGCGACCACCAGTGGATGAACTCAGCACCTCAAAAAGATTTTCACTAATGATGACATTGGCAATGATAGGAATTGAAGGGGCTATTCGACAGAAAGCTTCTAAACCAACAGATACATCTTCATCAACCTTCTAGAATATTTGAAGCCCGTCAATATTCAGAAAGATCAAATTACTAAAGATTTCACAAACATACATATAGTATAGTATACATACTAGACACAAGAATATAGATCATTAGGAGCACATACACTCAATAATTATATACATTTGTATACATATAACAATGGAAACTCACAAAATATCAAGTTCAGAGAATAACAAAGAAGATATTTTAGTTATAATTTGTGTTCAACCATAGAAATGACAGAAATAATTAGCAAATAAAGAAATATATTATTAAATTAAGAATATTCTAGTTATTCATTTTTTTGAATCATATTCCGCATTTTATTGTATAAGGCCCAGCAGTATTAACAAAAAAAAGGGGCATTAGGCATGTTTCCTAATAAAATCAATCTCAACACATTATACTCTGAAAAACATACATTAGTTAAGGGTTGGCTTTCAGCAGCTGGGGCTTCCCAAGCCAACATCATGTCATACGTCAATCGCCGGAATGTTTTGTCAAAGAGATGACCAGTCATTTGTGTTATCAGGCAAAGGGCCTTGAAACAGCAATATTCCAATAAGTTCCTTGCATATCGTGATGGATGCTTAATAGAATCAGAAGCCTCCTGATTGAAGCTCTCCTGAAGATCACTTGAAGAGGTCCTAAGGATTCTGCATTATTTTTTTTTATTGAAGTTGAATTTTCAATCAAGTGTCAAACAAGAAACAGTGAAAGGTCCAATGCTACCTAATATTCATGCAAAATCCAGCAAGAATGGAAGTTGAAAACTGATTATGAAGCAATAATTACAGAAGAAACAGGCTAATATGTACAGAACCACAACTTACTTTGAGCATCTACGAACAACTATGTTTGCAATAGGAGACAGCTCTCGTATAAAATTCTTCCCAGCAGAAGGAGAATTTTCCATCTCTTCAAATTCTTCCCCAAAGTAACTTTTCTTGCCAAGCAACCATTTAAAAGATCCTTCTTTTACCAAACCTTCAAGCATATTTCTGGTTTTGTTGGCTACAGCCATCTGTTTGACGTCACGAACTTATTGAGATTGGAAAACAAGATACCCGATATCCAATCGATCTTAAAGTTCTTGTCTTTACTGAAACATAGAGGTTACCAAGAAAATAAGTCCCTCCAATCCTCAAAACTATGAAACCAAACTACCAAGTATCAACCCAACAAAAGCTCAACTTACCCAACCTCATCTGCATGACTTACATACTTCAAACAATTCTTACAATGGAGAAGAAACTTCTCAATTAGCACTTATAAAATAAATAAGTACAATGAATTAGACTTCTTCCCTTGGAAAAAAAACTTAATTCATGCATCTCAACTTTCAAGAACTCAGATGAGATTTTCTATAAAAATTGAGGTACATAAGTTAATTTGTGAGACATCTCAATAGTTCAACACGTTCTAAAATCAGTGTGCCATTAACTGACATAGCAATAATACAAATTGAGGATGAATAAAAAACACAAGGGATGAACAACAAAAAGAGTGCTTAACTACTTCAATCTCCACTAGAAAGCAAACACACACAATTAAAATTTCACTTGCACAAACTCATCATGATCCTAAATTCATACAAGCAAATAAATCACACAGACATTGAATCAGAGATGATCACCAGCAAGCTGCACCGAAACAAAACCCAAGTAACCTACCTCCAAGCGCATAAAAATCTCAACTTTGACAAATGGGGTAGCTTGAAATTCAGAGATTTTTTACGATCTCAGAGAGAGAAGGGATTGTAAACCACCCCATTTCCACAAAATAAACGAACTAGTAGATAACTTGGATTATTAGAGGGATGTAAGGTAATATAAAGAATCTTAGTTGGATTGAGGTTGATGAAAGAAAAGAATGTTCAGTGATGGATAAGCACTAATAGAGAGGGAGGTTTTGCTTTCTGAAAGGGGAAGTAAGTCCTTACCTTGTGTAGGGACATAACATAGCTACCAGGTGCAGCAAAAGAAAAAAAAAATCTTTGTTGCTCATTATGCCAATTAATTTTTTATTTGTTCAAATAACCCATCTCCTTTTTCATTTACCTAAATATACCTTATTAACCAATAATTCACTTTTCTGTTTTCTCGTAATGAGAAATTGTTAAAGAACAACCAATTTTTCTGCTTTTTTTTCCCTTCAAAGAAAAATAAGTTGTTTACCCTATAAACAGAACCATCTAAAAATGCAAATAATCGTTTCATTGAGTCACTAAATGGTTTTAATTGAAGTTAATATCAAAACACTTCATAGTAACTACGTACATTTCATTATTTTTTATCATTTATATATTTGTAAATATGTCCTATAACAATAAAAATCTATTTTTTTAAAAATATTTTACTACTAATTGTAATATCTACAAATTATGTATATCTAGTCTTGAAGTTATAATTTACAAATTTTTATATATATAAAGGGCATAATTAAAGAAATAACAAGAAAAGGGGCACATAAAATAAAGAAACAGGAAAATAAAGATTGAATAAACAAATAATTTGTACAAGATAAATGAGAGGGAAAGTGGTGGAAGAAAGATTGAAAACCGACAACAATTAAGAGATTGAAAAAGAAGGTGAGAATAACACGTGGATATGAAAGTAGTGAATGAATTAGGTTTTGTAGTTCAATCTCTTCTACTTCATCACATTAGAGTAATGCATGTTAGGTATACCTTTATCTCATTGATTTCTAAAGCTAGGTAATGGAAAAATATGATTTTTTATGAAAATTTAAAGAGTTTTTTGATGCAGGGAACTTTTTATTCTTAATTATAAAAACATCACCAACTTTATTTTTCATAAAAATTTGTATAAAAAACATAAATTTTGGTTGAAGTGATGACACAAATTCATCTGAAGCAAAACTAGTGATATTTGAGAACTTATGTAATGAATATAAATTGTAAATTCTAACTTTTTATAAAGAAAGTGATCACTAACAATTCACAGCACCCAAACAAAAAATAAAGTACATTAACAAATCTTGATGATGAAAAATCTTATTCTTCCCAAATATTTATTGTCAATAACTGTCTCTTAAACTTGTTACATGATATTTTCTTTTCAATTAATGATGCTTGGTTTTAATAAAATTTATAATATCGTTTATGAATGAGAATAATACTCGAGTCAGATATAATTATTATAAACAACAGAATTATTTCTTTAAATACTCAATACAGGTATACACTTAAAAACTCAAACACTATGTTTTTTTTAAGCTTTAAATTTTGTGTAAATTGGTTTTAGTTTTTAGTTTTTAAAATTAAATTTTAGTAATAATTTTGTAATAAGTTTTAACAAATGGACAATTTGACAATTTCAAGTAGACAAAGCCGAATCAGATTAGGCATTCATCAATAAAGATTAAAAAATATTAATAATCACAACATATAGATTGGGCTTTAACAAAACCGTAGGTTGGGCTTTAACTTGATTCTGAAAAGAAAAAAGGTATGGGCTCTAACGTTGTTGATTGGGCTTTAACTTTATTCTGAAAAGAACAAACAATATGGGCTCTAACGTTGTAGATTGGACTTTACCTTGATTCTGAAAGCCTTTTTCTTTCTGCACCTTCATAATTTCTCCCTGCACCTTAATACCCAAAATCAAATACCTACAATACCCTTCCCATAATTTTGTTTTTTACCCTAACTTCTTATTCTATTTGTGTAAGACTTCTGCACCTCCATCTCTTAATACCTCCATCCATTAACTATTTGATTTTTGTGTGTTATCATCTCAATTGAAGGTTTTTTCTAATAAATAAAGATAAGTAATGGTTAATATTATGTATGAATTATATATTCATGCACTCAAATTACATAAATAGACTCAAATTCTCAATCTAAAATAGTATAATAAAAATGAGGTTAAATTTTGGAACACTCAATTCTAAATGCATTTCCGGATTGAATTTTCTGGAAACGTATTCCAAAACACTCATTCCATAATAGTGTTATGGATGGTGGGATGCATTTTTGAAAATAAATTTCACAAAAAATGATCTGGAATACATTTCCGGAAAATTAATTCCAAAAATACATAAAAAAAAAGTGCATTCCATAATTGATTTTCTAGAAATTTCTTTCGAATTGGTGAGTTTAAAATGCATTTCCAGAAATATAATCTAGAACAGACTTTTTGAAATATATTTAAAAAAATTAATTTAAAAAATTTATTCTGAAAAAATGTGTTCTGAAATATATTTCTAGAAAATTAATTTTAAAAATATATTTCGGAAAATAGTTTTCAAACCCATGTTTTATAGAAAAAAATTCAGTTTTCTCTTTTTTTTAACGTGTTTCCAGCAAAAAAGTTTGTTGTATGAATACTCTACGTGTAAAAATTTGATACAAAAGAAAAAAGTTACATTCTTACAAAAATAAAAATAAATATAAGGATAAAATAAAATTTAATTTAATTAAGGAGTGATGGAAGCAATAACCTTCTCAAACAGAACAAAGTATATGGGCTTTAACTTTGTAGATTGGACTTTAATATAACCGTAGTTCATATCCAGTTTGTCACATATTGCTATGGACCTTTTCGCTGTGAAGTTTTATATAGTTACACTGTACAATTTGATTCTTAAATATAAAATGTATTAAATTGATATTTATTCATAACGAAATTATTTTTTATGATGAAATAGATATATTAAATTGGTTAATTTTTTTAATTTAATTTTTATACGTGTAACATGTTTTTATACATAGACTAAAATTACATGTTTATCCAATCAATTTTTTATCAGTAAAATGTGAGATCAGTTACTTTCAAAACAAAAGTTTGGTTCAAGTAACATTAATAAAGATTTAAACTTTAGAGTTGTAAAAAGCATTTAGTTGATGAAATGATGAGGGTAAAGAGAGAGTAACTGCATGGTGGTAGTTGATGCGTGGGTAATTGGTGTTGATAAATGGAGTTCTAACGTATTGTGTTGGCAACATATATGACTAGGAATAAGGTATGATGTAAAAAGCAGGTTGAAAAGGTGTAGGTGCAAAAGGAGACTGTGTGGAAATGGGGGCTGATGTGAAGTGAATTATTAGCAGGAACTGAATGGCAGATTACAAATTCAGAATCCCTGAGCAGTGTTGTGAAGAGACAGGCTTGTTGATTTTGGTCCAAACCCTATCTTCCCAAGTCAACACCACTTGACCTTAACAGTGGGAGGTGAACATGTTGGTTTTAAGAAGATAACAACAAATTTGGGGTGAGAGTGTTTGCTGCAATTGTAGACTCATCAACTTTGTTTTCAATCTTAAATGTTAGACCATACAAACAGATACTGATGGTTTTGCTTCCTTGTTGGCAAAGTTGGTGGGGCTATGGTATTCCTCACCAGCTAACAACTTCCACTTTCACTTCTCAACCTTGGTAGTGACTTGTGAGCCCACTGTACTTCTCCTTGGATCCTTGAACTTGCCCAACTTTTTTATTCTCTACAACAAACAATTTTGGTAAAACCTTCCCAGAATATTTATTATGAGTTAGATTCCAAAAATGGGAAAATTAACCGAAAAAAGAGGATTGAGTTAAAAGTAACATCATGTTCTTTTATATCAGAATCAATGTTTTATGACATCAGTTCAGTCAAGTAGAATATGAATATTTCTTGACATAAGTTTAAGGCAAAACATTCATCATTTTTAATTTTTAAGGTTGCTGCTTTATAAATATCCAATATTTGGATAATGAATTAGTGATAGATGAAATGTTAGAAAGTAACGAAGAAGTTAATGTGATGAATGAATGATTCAGAAGTCTTCTCCCCCAACTACTACATCCAAACATGTGTCCCCCAAATCTGAATCCATATTGGGAATATATGATAAATCCATCTTTCAAGCATCAAATTAACTTTTAAGACCCTTTAAGTCCATATTCCTCCTCCTTATTCATGCATGGTAGCTCTAAGAGACAAGGAAACAGCATGGTCAAAAGTGGGTCAAATAAGGAAGATTGAGTTGGAGTGAAGAAGCAAAAGTGGCTTTAAAAGGTTCACAAGCTCTTATCATTTTCCTGATGTTGGAGAACCCAATTGCCCATCCTCTTTTCAGCATGCTCTGGCCCATTCAAGCTGTCCTCTTCTTCTACCAATTCCATGGATGCAATGCATCTAACCCCTCCTTCCCCTTTCATTAAACAATAACAACAAATGTGCTACAACCTCATTAATGCTTTCTCTCCTCAATCATTCACTTCATGAATTGGCAACATCCACAAGATTTCATCAATTCATTGCTTCAAGTGGGTTCCATGCACACTGTTCCCCTTCCATTTCCCTTCTGCTTTGTCATGTTACAACAATTCTTCCACTCTCACCCTCATTTCACTGCCAAAATGGATAAGCAATTTCCTTGTTTTACCGACAAACCAGATTTTTAACATACTTCACCTCTGCCTCAATTCACAACACTTTTATGTCAACATAAACCATCAAGTGAAAATTACTATTTTTTTCTCCTTTTCCTTTCCCTCATACTACCCCCCTCTTAATTAATACTCCATCCCCAAGAGACCAAACAAGACATTGAAGGAAATTGTCAGACAAAACTCATAATAAATACTAATATTATGTTGTTCATATCCTTTCAATAAGACTTTTTTTTATCAAAAGTTAGTCATTTTAAACTTGGTGAATCTTCATATTTAAAGTAGGATAATCAACAAATCTTGATAAATGTTATTTTTTTACATATGAACTTTTATAATCAAGCTAAACTATAATGCGATTTATTATAAAAAAGCTTAAGTAGGGATTAGTCGACATAGCCAAGTGAATGAAAAAAAAAAAAACACTGTTGAATTTGCAACCAAAAACAACACTTGTTTAAAATATTGTTTTTGTCGTAGGTCCTACAAGACATGGACCTCCTAGTTGATTAATGATCGCAACAATTCAATCTGGGTCCATGTGAGGAACTTGGTAGAACAAACGGAATCACGTGAACAGTACAAATTTTTTTTTTTTTTCACAGTAGTTTTCGCAGGTAAAATATTTGCCAAGAATTTTAGCAAGATTTGGAATTAGTTATGTGCGATTTATTTGTGTACGATTTATATTCTCAACCACCAAAAAGAGACATATACGAATAACCAGCCAAATTCAAGTTCAACTTAGAATCTCAAAATTCAGATTGACAAGTAACTATAATACACATCTTTGGCAATTGACATCAGAACTAATACTTTGGATTAACTCAAATGCTAAACACTGAAATTAAAGTTTCGATTGGGTTATTGCATTTGATGTTTCCATGATAACTCAATTGTTTTTTTAAAGAGAATGGAGCAAGTAAATTTAGCTAATTCAATCATTTTAGAATGTCTGCACTGAAATCAGTAATCAGAATTATGATTCGAGAACAATTTTATTCCCAAAATCATAAAAAATATGCCCCTTTTCTACTCGGAAAATGAAAGAATCCATGTACTGGCATGGGCTTTTAAACTTCAAAGTGCAAATGTATCTAACAAGATTATTGATCATGCATGAATGAAAAACCATACTATTATTGTTCTTTCTGCATAATGCATTTTTGTTGCACAACACTTACTGGCTTTTGCAAACATATCAAACAAAAATGAATTTAGGTTCAAGATTTTGCATGCACAAGGGCAATTATTAGTTTCAAGTATTGTTGGATTAATTAATAACTAGCCTAGAGTGCACATGCTTCGGTCGAAGACTAATACATCACAGAATTTTTTTCTTATTTCTTATTTTTTCCTTTTTGATTGTTGTTATTTGAGGTATGATTATTGGTGTCTGTGTATATGGCCACATATTGTCAAATCTGCAGGTGCTGCAACCAACCACACCATTCCACAAATGAATAAAAAGTATATGAAATGTGGGTTTTTTTTTTTCTTTTTATTAACTTCCATTTGATTTCTACACATGTCTGAAGGATTGTACAAGCAAGAATGTCCACTTGTGGTAGTAACACACAGTGGAAACAAATTGATCTTTGTAGAAAGTAAAATAGCAGATGAAGTGTGATCTCATGTCTTGTATGGCTGCTGAGTTAAAACATCTAAAACTGAAGTCAAAGTGGCCAACTTGGTTGAAAGCAAGAAACTCCTGCATACCCTTCTCTCTTATACTTCCCTAACTCTTTTGCCTCTGATGCCCTTGCTCTCTGCCACAAATCAAATAAGTAAACATAAATATAATATACTTTGAATTTGATCATCAAATGACAACTACTCATGCCCTTGTCTACTCTATCTAGCATATTTCATGTTCACCATCTCTTATATTTATTCTCATCCCTCAACAATTTGCATATATATGAATTGTGAGGTTTTCATGCTTATAAATTAAATAGGACTATGAAAATTTTAAAAGTAGGTACCTGCATTGTTTCTAAAGCATCTGTTTCGGAATTGAAGTCATAAAAGGTACTTGCTGCAGTAAGCTTCAGGGAAAGGAACTGCAAAAAAGCCAAACGTGGATTCGTATTGATATCAGTAAGGTTATGTTATAACATAGAAGTATCTTTTTCTGACAAAAAATGACACTATCTTCTTCTTTCTTTTTTTCCTTTGGATCCCTTACCTCTACTTGATGCTGCAAGGACTGCACATAGTTTATGATTTCATCCAGCATTACTGCCATACCCATGGTCTGCTAAGATTAATTAAAAAGTTAAATGTAAAAGTTTGGTTCATGAAGTTAGACATAAATTAGAGCTTTTAAAGGAAACTTGTCTCTACCTTGTAACATCCTGGAACAATATTCTGCAAGCACCTTAATTTCTCATTGATCTTCCCTCTTCTAACCTGAACAACAATAAATGATATACAAATATGTATTGTATTAGTCCACGTTCATCACAATCAAACAGACAAAAGTAGCCAAAGTGAAATTGTATATATTCATATTTGATTTATTTTTTATTATTTTTTTTAACTTGTGTGTTGGTATTTAACAATTCTTTCTTGCTTTGAAGAAAGTGAAGTTAGGAACTATATACACACCCTTTCTGCTAAACTGTGACTATCGGTAGCTTGGCCTCTTCTGGCTCTGACATGAACCACTTCCTTTGTTTTCTCCTCTTCTGTTACATTGCTTTTTGCTCTCTTTCCTCTTCCAGAACTCTGAAATTATTACCAAATAAAAACCAAATTCAGTCTTGCTCCTGCATACAATTTCAAACAAAAATATCCAACACAAGACATGGTGCATGCATGGGGAAGAGAAGCGAAAAAAAGTAGAAGAAATTTACATGTTTGATCTTGCTTCCACTCTCAGAAACTGCAGGAGTTGAGTTAGCTGAACTGGTCTCAGGAAGTTCCGCTGATTTCCTCTTTTTACCTTCATGAATCTCATTTTCTGCTTGGAAAATGGGGAGGGAAACAGGAAGTGCATTGTGGTTGATATGATGGACAAGGGCTGGGAAATTTTCCTCCATGTTCCCAGGAAACTCAGGTTCTTGGGGGCCCAAGAAGGTGTCACAAGAGAAAGGCATCAAGTTGTGCATAGTCAAGGTTGAGTTGTCAATGACATGTTGGTTCATCCCAATGAATTGGTTTAGGATTTCCATGCTTGGATCAATGTCTAAGAATGGAAAGGAGGAGGGTCTAATGCTTTGCAAATGCAAATTTTCTGTGAATTCAGCCATGTGATTATAAATCTCAAAATGAGAATGAGTGAGTGTTTATGAGGTGTTTAAGTGGTATTTGGATAATGTGGGTTACACTTGTTCTATTTATACTGTGGAATTGTGGCTACATAGATGAATAGAAGGTATTCTTAGTTGGCCACGTGGCACCTCAAGCTTCTGTGGTTTTTGTTCCCTTAGTTGGCCCCTTGCACAGGGAAAAATGTCCAATATCAACAAGGACCCATGTTTTGTGAGAAAAGCACGCCTAGTTTTGGAGCTTTTAGACTTTTTAATTCGTGTTGTGGTATCATTCAATTTTTAGCAGTAGTGGGAATTAGAAAAGTGCACTTCTTTAGTGGGGAAGCATGGCCTTGGTGCAAAATCTTCCCAAATATATCACCTTTCTCCTTCCTTATTCTATGTCACCACCATAACTCCATTTTTCTTTTCTTCCTCATCTTTTAATATTCACACACTTTATCTAACCCATTTCCTCATTTTCCACCTCATGATACTGTATGAATATTCATTCACTACTTTCTCTTGGTTTCAAACCATATATATATATATATATATATATATATATATATATATATATATATATATATATATATATATTCTTTATAGGATTTACTTTTATTCAAGTCAAATCATAAATTACTCTCTCTTTAAAATACTTCACAAAATTGTATTCAATGATTCTTGTTTGTTTCTATGGCATTTTATTATAGTGAGTTTAGGGTTTAATCCAAGTTGCTCTAAACTCACTAAACTACAGAGACCTAAGTTATTAAATATAAAAGAAAAACCAAGAAGTAACACATAAACTTATAAACAATTATAAATATAAAAAAATACTTAATTAATTTATAAATAAAATAATGCACCGTTATTTTAAAAAATTGTAAAGTATTTAATTATACTAAATAAAGAAATAATTATATTAATTAAGAATTGTGCGTATTTTTTACAATACAAAACTGTTCCATTCCAAAAAATTTGTACCAATCAAATCGATTGGTACCTACGTCAGGTATTTGAATGCGTGCGAAACTTCCAGCCATAAAATTATATCCCAACGAGATCATTGATGACATATTAATGGTGTTAGATTCATTACTTTTTATATGGCTACTATCTTTTAACATTTTTTTTATATGACTTAGATAATATCAAATTTATTCATTAAGTTGACACATCACATTATTCACACATTAAAACTGCTTTTAAATCTAATATTCTCGGATTTACAAGAAAAAAATTCAAATCTCATGATTCTATATTAATTGAATTTGAAAAAATATATATAAATAATAAAAAAAAAAACTTTCACTTTGATTTGATTTTATGTGTTCATATTCTCATAGTTGTTTTTTTTTAAGTTAATAATACTCCACAGTACATTAATTTTTTATTTTTATTATTCACAATTTTTTAAAAGAGTAAAATCAAAAGATATTTTTATAGTTATATTTGAATAAGGAAAAAAAAAACTATTTATATATTAAAGTAAATTGAAAAAAAATAAAACACCCTGGAAAGATTGTCACTTAGTTTTGCACCCCATTACAAGCATTAGCCTTGGAGAACAATAGAATTTTCCAAAATGGTGTACGTTGTGATGCATACTGTGCACACAAACTGTCATTTTAGAGTGATCTTTTCTGCAACTTGTTCTTCTGCCTTGTCCATACTTGAGGCCACATAAGCATGGTGCTTTATATATTCAGTACCATGAACCTTATTGCTCCACCCCATTAAAAGTGTTCTTGTTATGTAATGGACGAGAGAGTATAGAGCCATTAACTGAGAAAACATGAATGTGCAAGAAAAGGACGAAACTATATAGTTTTCTTAGTGAGCAAGTCACATTAAGACACTGTGTTTGGTCAATGAATCAACCACCCTAATCAAGGGTCGAAACATGAATCTCGATTATTAAAGAAGAGAAAATTACTTTAGTACCAAAGAATTGTTATATAAACTGATACATGCCTACTATTTTATTGAACAAAAGGTTAACAGAAAATTATATAAAAGAAATAAACTAACTGACAAAAAAATCAATATAAATCTGCTTTTGTAGTGTTGTCTAAACATGTTTTAGATTCTATCTTAGTGCTAAAATACATGGATGCAGAATTAAACATTTTTCTGTGAAAAATTGTCATATAAGAACTGTTCATAAACTTAATCTTGAACCATGGTTATAGATTTGAAAGTCTATATCCTAGTTGTTCAACCTTTCAATTCCTACTGTTTGGCCACACAATTCATTGTCCTATGTTTGCTCACACTGCCTCTGATTTGAACTGATATTTGGGAAATGAGTGAACCAAACTTTGAAACAGGTTTCTGACATGTGGGGTGTGTGTTTGGCCTGTAGCAGTTCATTCAATTCTCATTAAGGGTTACATTGGTCTCACTCACACTCTAAAGAAACCATATGGGCATTGAAAAGTTGGAATTGCCCCTATATACACGCACCCAATTGTAGCCTTCCCAAAAATGGACATTCTTTTCATCATTTGCTTCTAGCCATTGACGGCTCACACACAGAGACAAATTAGAGTTTCTCAACTTTGGAACAAACCTTTCCTATATTAGAAACCCTTCATTACCCTTTTGCAAAGCTACATGCTTAGAGTTTTGAAAACTAAATGCAAGGCCTTAGAACTAGAAAGGATTTGGTTGTGATGTCACACTCCCCTATGGGAAAATACCTTCCATATTGTAAACGTGCAATGGTGAACTTGCCCATGCATTTGCCTTTATGCCTTAGTATGAATGAAAGGTGTGCATCCAAACAAGTACTTTGGAAGAGAATGCCATATCAAGATTGCCTAGTCTATGCCTACTATAGGTATAGGCCGGATTTACCTAACATAACTGTAATTTTCTTGACTTTTGACATTTGAGAACTAGAATGTACTCTCTTGCACTTCTTTTCAAACACCTTTCTTTATCTTGTCTTCAATTTTTTAAGGCATCATTTCTCATGACCACTAATATTTTCTTAATAAAAGTCATATTTGTATGTCAGTTAGATACTGAAAAATGAGAGAGAAAGAGAAGAGTTGCCTATATTGAGAAATTAGTTTGGTGAGAATTTTACTTGACTTAATTGATCATACTTGCATATATTGAGAAATTAGTTTTTCACAATTACAAGTTAAATACCTTTTATCTCTTCCATTAACGTGATAAAGCTATGAGAAAAATATTATATACCATGTTTAGTAAAACTCATGTGACAGCCAAGAGCTATATCATACAAACTTTTACTTTAAAAATGTGAATTTGATTCAAAACTGACAAAGACTTGAATCCAATTTTCTTTTCAACACAAAAGATGGAAGTTATCAGTATCCTCTTAGGTTTCGGCATCTCTTATCAGCATCCACTCTTGAGAGTTAAATACTGAAAAAATGTAACAGAAAAAGAGAGTGATGCGTATATGTCAGATAACTTTGTTGCAGAATATTATTTGGACTTAACTTTTGCAGTATATAAATAAAATTAACTTTCACCCCATATTTTTTTCTTTCAACAAAACTTCGTATGGCCAGGTTTGACACATGTCAAACTCCAAATTGTAAACAGATCTGTAATTAGGTTATCAGCAGTTTATATGACAAACAGATAATGAACAGGAATATTAATTTAGATCCTAAATATTGTACCATAAAGTTGTGTTCTTTCGTACAATGGGAAAGTGGAGTGTTTTCTTTTATAAGAAAAAAACAAATTTCAGATTTTTAAAATTTGAAACCCCACTGCATCATATGAAACTACAACAGTATCACTGTATATTATATATAGGACACCTAAGCTATTACGTGGTTTAATTAAATCACTTCAAATCCCAATGAAGTCCAAATATAATAATATCTTTATAACTTAGCCATGTCTTCACAGGATTCAACATATTGGTTATTTTCATTAAAATGCTTATCTGAAAACTATGGAGCAATCATATACTTGAACAACCTACGAAAGATGACACATTCAGTGACAAAATATGGTCTACTTTTTTTTACCTAAAAGATGATTTGATGATTGATATGATGTCCACTTACTTATATGTTGTGTCTAATCCTTCACTTGTGGCCTTCGAGGGAAAAATTTTCAAGCAGAAAATTGTAAGTGGGTGCGTATGAAATCAACTATAAACGGGAAAGAAAGAAAGTTTCAATCTCTCAACTTCAACAGTTCATTACTACATTAATTTGATTGTGTGGTTGAAGGTTATCATTGATTCTAATAGCATTAACATATATTTCAGAGACGGTTCATTGAATCCTTGGGATTTATTATAGTGGCTTTACGAAGTGATTGATTTACAAAATATAAATATATATATATATATATATATATATATATATATATATATATATATATATATATCCTTTGTAGTTAATAGAACTACTATTTACACTCCAAAAAAATGTTTTTTATTTTTATATGGAAATTATTTTTATTTAGTTTTAAAATTATATATTATAAATTATAAATAAATAAAATATTAAGAAAAAGAGATATATAATCCAAATTAGTTGACCAATTTAAGAAAGATAAGGCAAAGGAAACTTTCAAACGATTAAGAGTATCTAATTTTTAATAAGAGTTATCTAAGAATAAAATTAAATATTTTATTATGGATCTTATATTTGAATTACTTAAAATTTAGTTAGAGTTGTTTATCCAAACAATTTTCTTTCATTTTAAGTAACTTTCACCACTTTTAAGCAATTTAGATGTAAGACCCATAATAAAATATTTACTCTTATTTCCGTGAATATTTTATTGTAGGTCACATATCTAAATTACTTAAAAGGGAAAAAATTACTTAAAAGTAGAAAAATATTATTTAAATAAATAACTCTGAGTAAGTTTTAAACAACTCAATTTTAATACTATAATAAAATATTTAATTTTATTCTTAAACAATTCTTATCAAAAACTACTTTTAGAAATGTTCTTAACCAACTCTCGGAACAATTTTATTTGAAGATCCC